TTGGGACCTGCATCCTGCCTGCTCCCTGCTCTGTGGATGCCAGCTGCAGCTGGCCAGTGGTGTCTGAGCTGTGGCTGCCCTGCAGGGGAGCTGGGAGCTGCTGTGGCCAGAGTGGAGCACAGAGCCCAGCACCACCAATGTCCATGGGTGGCATGGCTGAAGCTGAGCTGAACAAACCCCATGAAGGGAGAGGATGAGAGCTGCCCACTGCAGGGCTCAGGGCTCCCTGCCTTGCTCCCCTCCCCCTGAGGGCCTCTGTGGCCCAATAGGCAGGATCCAGTGCAGGAAGGTGGAGCAGGGTGGCAAGACTCAGTGCCACTGTTGCTGCTGCTGGCAGCCCCCGCCCGCTGCCAGCCTAGGAGCAGTGGGGGAGATGGCAGTGGCACACAATTGTGCCCCCCCCTCCCACTGCTGCCAGGCAGGCAGGGGGCACCTCACTTTGGTAAGGGACTCGCATGGCTGATGAGGAGCTCTTGGTGATGGCAGCACTGATTCTCCCCACCCTGCTGTGCCCTCCTGCACCAGGTTCTTCCCACTGGATTATGGAGCACATGCACATAGTGCCCCTGGTGTCCTGCTCCCCCTACCCCCAAGAAGGCCCTTTCAGGCTGGAACTCTGCCAGCCTGCAATAGGAAACTCACAGTTTCCCACGTTTTTCTCCTTTAAAGGAGAAAATCTGCATTTTCCATGTTTTTCCATGGCAAATGGAAAACCTAGTATTTAGTGTATGAAGATAAAACATATACAATTAATAGATTTGGACATTAAACAATTCCTTTGAAAATAAATGCATGCAAATGATCTGTGTACCAAAAACAAAGACACCAATATGTGAAGATGACATTAAAGAATTTAATAGAAATTGCTATGTATCATTCTAATTGACAGCTGACAGCCAAATCCATCATCTGCCCCTCAAAGGAGTACAACAAAAGATGACTTGGAGCATCAGCTAACAGCTGAGGTTTATACCCTATACCCTGTGTTATAAGTATGCATAAAACACAGTGTCATTATATTTCATGACCTACTCAAAGACAAAGAGTAAAAAATGTAAGACCAGGTACTAATTTAAAAAGGAGTTCTTCTACTTACCTCCACAGAAGCAGGTTTAAGCTCCTACTTCAGATATGTGTGTAGGGTGGAGGGAGAGGAAGGTTAGGGCGGAGAGCAAGAGGGGAAATTTTAACTCCATAATAAAAATGATTTGTTAAAGTACAGCTATACTGTGCAAACTGACTCTGGAAAAAAATGTCTTTGTGGCGTTCCAGGCTTATGTTTTCTCAATGAATTTCATATGTAGGTTGCTCAGTTTCCAAGTAAAAAGCTGTTTTTCTAACTGTCACCTTATATCTTTAACCCTTGGGTATGAAAGCCAAGAAGTGCTGTCTTTCATTCATGTATTTTCATCAGTTACAAAGACATATATATGGCTGGCCAAATACTGGGATTCCACCCTTTTCTTCAAATTCTCTCTCGTTATATATCTGTATAACCCTGCTTCTGTAGTGGAGTCTAAATGGACTTTATTAGGAATAGGGATCCTAACAAAAGGCTAGTTGAGTCTAGATGAGACAGGCAGCTCATTCTCTCAAAGCCATGTAGCTGTGAGAGCACTAATAGACCAGATGATTATAGACTAAGCCAACATGATTCTGAACACAGAGACAGTGGGCTGCTGAATAGGCAGGAGTCATTTTTACTTAGCCCCTTTTCAGAGCAAAACTGTCCTCTAAGGCAGGGCTGTCAAATCCATGTCACGGGGGTAGTGCATGCAGGGGCTGGTGCATGCAGTGTGGAAGCAGGACCCAGTGCCACCAGTGCTCTGCAGGAGGTTGGTCCTGGTCTGGCATGCAGACCGGCTTAGATGCACTTATCCAGCCTTGGGCCCAGGTGAGTTTGACACCCCTGCTCCAAAGGATAAGAAAAGTGCCAGTTTAATGATGTTTGAAAAAAGCAATCAGTTTGCTCCCCTTTACAGTAGTATTTATTATTGCTGCATCAAAGGTGCCCCGACGGTTGTTGCATCCTCAGAACTGACTTGAGTTGACAATAGTATTCACAACGTAAAAAGCTTTAATAGTCTTTGTGGTCATATTTTCTATGGGTTTTCTTTCATCTGCATGCCACAAAACTGCGTGGAAGAGTTCAAAATAGTATATGGGCTTTTGCTCATTCACTGGTACTATAGTTCCAATCTGATCTCTCTGACTGGGTGCAATCTGCAGTGACTGGCATGAATGAGATCAGAATCAGGTGTCACAGGCCAGATTTTTTAAAAAGACATTTAGGTGCTTGAGCCTTTAACAATCAGATTTTATGCTTTTACTGAAACATTTATAATCAGTTCCCTGGGGACAGCCTATGTTGCTGAACAGGCCTTGCCTATTTGTTCTCCCTGCATACCACCAAATCCAGAAATGTGGTGGTGATGAAGCTATTCTGGGGTACACACCCCTGTGGCTTCTCTCCAACATGCTGTAATCAGGGGCCCAAGATCAGCACCAGTGGGCACTCTGGGAATGGTTTTACCACATTTTTGGTTTAGTGCGTGCAAATAAGAGTTGGTCGAGAGGCATGCAAGAAAACAGGCATTTACAGTGGCACCTGGAACAAGGCATAGACACCCCTAGCATTTTTCCAGGTCTCTGTTTCTCTTTCATAAAACAACATCAACCCTGAGGTTTTCCAGCAGAAGAAAAGGAGGTGGAGGCACAACAAGAAGAAAGGAAGACACAAGCATTACTAATGATGTTTCTGGTGACTGATTTATACAGTAAAATCACATAGTTGTCTGTTGTCAACTTTGACATAAGATACTAATAGCAAAGAGCTCTCAAGGAGTAGACCCAGAATTTGATTTCTGGAAGCCATTCACAGCCAGGAGCTTTCTCATTTTTTTCTCCCTAGTACTATGGCTTTTACTTACAAACTCTGAACAAGGAAAGAATATTATGCAAGCCATCCATTTCAGTAAAAATTGAAATGAACCACTGTAAACCACAGACTCTTCCTCACTTCTGTGCTCAAATGGGGCACATACCCATTTATGAAGGAGGGAATCAAAGCAGTACACAGGTATAAATGTTTAATATGGTCAATTTTGGAAAGCAGAAAATAAAAAAGGTGTTTAAGTAAAAACAAAGCACAAGTCAATGTCATTTATTAACCTACTCATCACACTGTGCAGTTGTATAACAATATAAGTTGTTGTAAAATATTTAAATTATCTGTAAAATATTTAACCTCCATTTTTACATCTACCTCTTTCCCTGGGGAGCTTTGTCTCTGTCCTTGTTAGTGCAAGAGCCAAGGATAATTATATTCATACATAGATTTCAAGGCCAGAAGAGGCCAACACAATTATCTAGTCTGAGCTCCTGCATAGCATGGGCCATAGAATTTCACAAGGGATGCTTGCCCTAAACCCACAATTGCTGACATAACTAGAGAAGACGTTTCAGGCAGACTCCCCATCTTGATTTAAAGATATCAAATGATGGGGAATCCACCACCTCCATAGAAAATAGTTCTTCAGGTTAATTTCTTTCCCCATTATTTTTTGTTTGAATTTGTCTGCTTTCAGATCCCAGTCTCTGGCTTTAACCATGTCATGGTCTACTAAATTAAGCAGCATGCTTGTTGATCGCGGTTGAGTTACCTCTTATTCTTTTCTTTGTTAAGCTAAATAGATTGAGCCAGCAATGTAGGGATGTGGCCAAGAGCCAGGGCAAAAGGGAAACAGCAGCCTTCGGATCACAAGTGTGAATGCAAACACACAGCTGCTGGAAGCAGATGCTTATTTTCACCACCTACCCCCAAGGCACTTGCCCCTATTGCCCCTCCCTTATACCACTGGATTGAGCTTTGTTAGTCTCTTGATAAAAGGGCAGATTTTCCTAACATTAAATGATTCTTGAATACAGGACCTGGCCTTCCTCCATGCACCCTAAAAGAAACAGAAAAGCAGGCAGGACCAGTCCTAGCTCTCCTGGAGAGGGATTGGTGCCACTCTACTTCATTTTAAATCTCTATGATATACTTACATTGCTCTCACCACTATAGCACAGAACCACCTCAGAATCTTTTATGTCATTTATTACAATGTCCATGTCAGTGCCCTCCTCCCCACCTTACAGATGGAAAACTGAGAAACTAAAGGTAGATCTGCACTTCAGGTCCAGTGACATATGCTGGGATGTCTGCAAGCATGTCTTGCCCACCTGCTCACACTACAGGTGCCAAACTCAAAAATGCAGCAGTGAAACCACTTTTGGAGCATCCTTTGTCACCTTTTTGAGACCTCTGCTTCTAGCATGCTTGAAAGAGGCTGAGGGGGGGATGCTCCCAGAGTGGCTTTACCACCATATTTCTCCATTTTGACTAAGCAATTTGAGACAGAAGACCAGGACATACTTTCTAGGATTTGTTGGGGACGTAGTATAGACCTTAATTGATATGAATGGAGCATGCCTTTGGTGGCTGGGGAGGGCATAGCTGCAGTGGCGGCGGGAGCCTGGTGGCAGTGAGTGGGGAGCTCTCACAGATGCTGTCGGCCGGGGGGTGGCAAGTGCCAACTGCAGGTCGGCGACCACCCACAGGCGCCTTCGGCAGTGGCCAGGGGTGATCATGGACCACCCACTTTTTGCAAGGGGTGCACCATCACGTGCACCCCCTACACGCCCCTGCTAATTGATTTGCTCAAAATCACAATATAGCAGAACAAGGAATAGATTCTAGGTCTCTCGAGGGCAATATTTGAACCTCCAGATCAACCTCCCTCTCTAAAATTACTATAAACATAAACAGGGTTTTACTATATCCAAGTTTTCTAATAATAGGGAGAATTCATATAGCACTTTTCAGTGTAATACCAGTATAGAAACATTAAGATCTGCTACAATGTGACTGAGTTGTTTTGTATATAGTTCCCTTGATAAACAAAAATTCTGAAATCTCAATGTACTGGTCTGTTCAGAAGAGGGGTTCAGGTACTTACTGCTACACCCGTCTTAAAAAGGAGGTAATGGATAGTCTGTGTTACATCTGCTGCATGCATTAGGTTGTGATAAGGATTTTTGTGTTTGCTGTATCCAACTTCCAATGCTTCGACAAAGGAAACGAGAGCAGAAATGGGAATCTAAAATGAGAAGCAGCAAGTTAAAGCTGTAAAATACATTTATGACAGAATTATCTTTAATGATTAGCATTTTTAGAAGTCACTTGCATTTAGTGCTTCAAACTCTGGTTTATGCTTCATAAATAAATAATAGCCTAAAGCGTCTTAGCAGACACTCCAGAGACAGTGTGAATCAAGACGTTTATTTTACCCACTCTGACTTGCCCATTCCTAATTACATTTCAGATGAATCACACATGCATACACATATACAAGACAGTGGAGTACTATGTGCCTGTTTGAAGACACATGCAGAATGAAAAATAACACACGCTACTTGGCTGACTGCCTCTGGAGAAGTATTTCTAAATAGGTCACAAAGTGTTTGTCTGTTTCCATGACCCACTGATATATATCATTGCTTCATAACTCATGTCCTAGATTTGTAATGATAAATACTATAGGTTGTCTGAAACATTCCATAAGAAAAGCGTTATTTATCAGAGTCTCCATGTAGTTAATGTTTGCCAAATTCTCCTTTCTGGTACTGTATAGGCTTGCTGTGCTCATTTCCTTCAATAGCAGTACTATGCACTTATGTGAGAGCAGAATTTAGTGAGCTTTGGAGAAGCAGAGGCTCAGTATTGGTGATGTAAGTTTAACTGCATGAGCAACAGAACTGAACTACCTGCCCCCTGCCTCCTCCCGCCATGCTGGTGTCACCCATTCTTACTACGCGTTCTAGAAACTCTTGTATGATGGTTGTGTGGATTTCTACAATCCTTGGGGCTACCAGCCAGAAGAAAACTGGATATCACTTCTTTTGCTAGGGGCATACATGGGCTTGGGGGTACAAGTCTGACTGATTTACCCTTCCCAGAAAACTGCAATAGGGAGTGGGAACCTCTGGAGAAAATAAGTATCAGAGAAGCAGAAGACCAAGGGCGAATTTCTGTAAGGCAAAATGGTGAAAATCTCTTAAGAATAGGTATTTTTTTCCTCATGAGATTTCTACTATTTCAGTCTATGTGCCAGATTTAATACAGAAAAACATCTTCTAATGCAGTAAAAGTTACAGTGTGGCTGGAATGAAAGTTGGTTGGAGTCTAGTAAACTCTGGAAAGACGGGGTGAGGGGTGAGGGTTGAATTTGGAAGAAGCAGCACAACTCAGAATTACTGACCTTAAAGCGATTGATTAGATCATAGCGTGTGAGAAGTTCATAGAAAATGAATTTCAGCGCGTGATCACCACTAGCATCATTTAGTGCAAATACGTCGAAGGACCACTTGTCTACATTCTGCAAGGGGATAGGAAAAAGGTGTTTATACAGTCAATCCTTTTGCGATTATAGTGCAAGCTCTGCCACGTCAAATCTTTAACAAATGAGAAAGTGTCACTGTCTGGAACACACAGAAAAATATCCATTGCTGTCTCTAGATGACTCTGATTTTATTTAATCAAAGTATATTTTGTTTAACTCTGCAACATGTCATGATCACCGCAGACCTGGCAAAGAAGTACGTTCAGCTCCGGTCACTTAAGATGTTGGGCTTTAATCAAAAAAGCCTGAATCTCGAAAGGTTTAGAAACCTGGTTTAGTTTGGATCTGCCTCATTGCATTAGTTGCAGCACTGTGCTACTTCCTAAAACTAGGAAAATAACCCACACTAAAGCTACTTGGAATAGTAAATATAGCCTTTTTAATGATACCACTGTGCTTCATCTTCCCAAGTCTGCAGAGTCTCTGCAGTTCTCACAAGATGATGTTCTCTAATGAGACATATTTTAACTTGTAGTCAGGGCTAGGAGCATAAGAGAGCAGTCTCTCTTGTGATAAAAATAATGAAAGAAATATCAGCCTAACTCTGAGGTCTTGTTTTCACTGGGCATTACTCAGCTTTCAAGAGCTGGCAGGCAAATACACACTGACAGGGATTGCCAGGGGATCTGTCTATAAGCTAAACTAAAATCAAGACAAACAAACAATTAACCTCCTAAGACAAATTCCTGACCCTTTTCTCTTGAACTGTAAGAGGACCCAGCAGTGGAAATGGAATGTGTCTGTTGTGCAAAGAATGAGAAGTTTATAGGAGTGGTCTTAGGATGCTCAAAATGATGAGATACGGGATTTGGTTAGGGGAATATACACCCAACATATCATCCAAAGTGAGAGGAAATCAAAAGAGGAGGTAGGATCTAAACACGAGACAGCTAAAGAGCTATTAATATTCTTTTCACTGTTTGGTCTATATATAGGTACTGATGCTATCTTTGACGTCAGTCGAAAACTCTCATTGATTTTTGCAGTGTAGGATCAAGCCTACTGAACTCAGGATTAGCTCCTTGACAAATCTGCCTGTATTAGGGAGGTGAAAATGCCCAAACACTTCTGGAGTGGCCGGGGGGTATATGTAGACCTAGAAGCCAAATGCACTCCTTACCTTTCCCCTACACATACATACACACACCTCATCTTGCTCCACCCTGCTGTTCCACACTGATCTATTTATAGACCGACTCGCAAATGCACCTGGGGGAACACTGTGCAGCAATGATTTCTTTTTCTGAACCAAAAAAAAAGTGTCTTTACCCTTTCAGTAGTTTTATGCATCACAAAGCACCAGATGAAGGAACAGTATCCAAAGTCAAACATTCAAATAGCATTCAGTTACCTTGTTACCTGCATATTTAATGATGTGTATTTAATGATGCTGAATAATCACCCAATACTTTAGTATAAGTTTAACTAACTGTTACAGAGCCTAGAGCTTTCTAAAATGCTTTTTTTTTTTCCTCTCATTGTGATTTAAATCTAAAGATACAAAATAAACCAATAAAGAATAGGGGGGAAACGGGGATTAAAAACCCTGTTCCATCCTCCCTCCCTCTAATAATGCTGGAAAATAGATCCAGATAGCAATTGATTCATTCTGGTTTTAATATTATTCTTATATTGCACATTATCATAACATAAATATCCAAAACTTAATGTGACCCTAATGTTATTCTTTTTTTTTTTTTTAAAGATAAATGTATTCCCCCAGGCTTCCAGGAAAATTTCACAGTAGGAGAAAAATCACAGCAATGTTACACTAACTGCCTATGCTGGTGTGAAAGTAATCTTTATAAAACAGGGTCAAATAGCCACATCTAGTTGGGAGATTTCCAACTGCTGCTTCTGCTGAGTGGGAAATTATACATTGAAATGGGATGAAGACCTGCTGGGTGCAGTAGGGGAAAGCATTAATTGGTACAAGGCTGAGCACCCTCTACTTTTATTGAAATCATTGGGTAGAAATTACATTTAGTACTGTGCAAAATAGAGCCTGTAGTTAGGATTAGTCCAAGAAGAAGATATTGCAATGTAATGTCCTTTTTTTTTTTCTTGATCTCTGTAGCAGAAACAAGGGGAGTTATAGCCAGGGGAGTTATAGCCAGGAGAATGATACAAGATCATCAATGCAGCTATATTTGGCCTGGGACCAACTTTTTAATCTTTTCTGACTGCTGAGAACTTTGATGTGCTTCCTGCAGCAGCCTATCCAAGCATATCTGAACTGCTCTTCTTAAAGTGCCTATTAAAGATTTACATCTTTAAATTGGAAGCTTTCCTCCACTTTCAAGTTCCGTCATGGGGTTGACTCCCAATTCCCCAAGGCACTTGCCTCAAAAAAGATTGTATATCAGCTATGCATGTATATGGATGCCTTTAGATCCATGCGCAAGAGATGGGGATCAGCTTTAGGTAACTTTACTCATTAAAAAACAGACTTTCTGTGAGGAAAAATGCCTTTATTTTTAGCTAACTTAAAATCATTCTGGAAATCACATGTTTCTGCCAAATGTTTAGAGGTAATCTGCAACTGATGTAAATTGTTACAGTTTTGGAGCCATGACAATTTACACCAGGTGGGGATCTTACCCTTAAGATCAGATGGGGAGAAAATGAAGTTAAATTCAAGATTTAACTACCTTGATGGCCCTCATCTAACCATTTCAGCAGTGTTATCTTCTAAACAGGATGATTGGGATCTCATACCTCCACAATTTGAGCCTGATTCCACAAGCCTCCCATGTACAGCACTCCAACTGGGAAAGTGTTGGATGTACAGGGATGGCAGGATCAGGCACAATATGCCTCTTGAGAGAAACAAAGCAAGGGGAGGCCAACGAATGTCAAAGAGCAACAAGGGACACTGAGGCCTTGATCCTGCCAGAAGACTGGATTTCTGCATATCTCAGTAAATCATCTACTGCAGCACAACTAATTTTACAAGCTGTGCAGTGCTAACGTACTGAGAACAGTCAAACTTTCAGGGAGGTGTTCTGTGGATGAAGCTTTAACACATCAGTCATAAATTGTGATTTCCTAACACTTTCAGGAATGTTCAGAGAGAGGAAAGATGCAACTCTGTGAAAGTTCCACCCTGAAAAAAAAAGATCTTTAAATCCTTAAACTACTTAAGGAAGTGGATGGGGATAGGATTAAGAAAGTGGGTGGGGGATAGGAGGGACTGGGAAAACAGCATACAAGTCCACTCATTTTTAACAGCTCATTGTTAATAAGTGGTTATTGTTTTGCTTTACTATCATGCATACCATTTGGGGAAGCCAAATTAATTTTAAAAAATTGTTTACATTTATATTGTGCGCTCTGTGAATTCAGTCACTAAATGGTAACAACCCAGTTTTATCAAGCAAGTCCCAGGTTCTCTTGTGTTGGTATCTTAGGAACTTCTATGTAGAGGCCAGAGGTGTCTTATTTTTTCATTTCAAAGGGTTAAAAAAAACCCTTGTTTTTATTTTTAATGATTAAAAACAAAAATCAGGATGCATTGTTTAGAAAACAGAATTTACTCTGCATATACCATGGTTCAAACAAACCAGTTGAAAGAGTGCTTGGCAGGACAAACAGTGGTTGGAGGGAAAATTTAAACAAATAGAGGCATAATCAAAGTTGTTCTTTTGCTATGAAGTGAATACTAACCACACATATTCAGATTGCTACATTGGTCACAACCTTGGGATAGCCTTTGGATAACTCAAATACAGATGTCCCATGAGCCATTTCAGAAACAAATGCTCAAAAGTATTAGGGGCCACACCTCTCAAATGTAAGGGAGTTTGGATTTCATTGCGATTTAGCTCTTGTCTCAGTTATGTAGGAGGAACTGGTCTGGGACCATCAGCTTTTTAAAAGCAAGCTGAAAGCAGGCAAATAGTGGTCACTGGCCTTATCCAACTGGACTGGATTGAAACCAACAACTGAATGCACTATATCCCATTAATGGGTAGAGATGACTAGACAAATTTTCTTCATACATTATTTCAAATATGAACATAATACATAATTCAAGGAAAATTGTTCCCATTTCAACCAGCTGTACTAGCTACCGCTGATAACTCTAGTCACATTCATGTTCTCAAAATAACTTTAAAAATATATCCATGAATTCAAAAGAACAGCCATATAGGATTGCTTATTTCACTTGCAGCAAAATTCGTTAATACTTTTCTTACTGTCATTTCATGTGCCCTGACTTATTCTAGCTAGAATTAATTATGTTTACATCATTTAAATAAACCTGTCTGAATTTCTCTCTCTCCCTCTCTCTCATATATTTTCAATTTATTAAGTCAATACAAAAGGGTTAACAGTCCTTGGTCCATGTCCCTTTCTAGGCCCAGCCTATCCCTAAATACTCTTTAAATGAAAGGAACCATTCTACCTTCAAAAAACCAAAAAATACAAAGACAAATAGACTGATATGTTAGATTATGGTGTAAAAATATTTCTGGGTTAAGTGTATTTATGTTGTAATACTGTTGCTTGCCTCAGTTTCCCTGACTAGCTTGTGCATGGGCAAAGAAGGGGTTAATGAGGCCTTAACTAAAACTTAGAGCTTCCCAGTTGCCAGAGGAGACAAGATGCACATCCATCAATAAGGAATTGAACGGTCTTCTTGACACTTCAACAAGGTGGGATTGGTAAACTTCCTTTGGAGATAAGTTAGAAAGCATCAAGGGAAGCAGAGGGAGATAAGCTTCACACAATGGATGGAAAGGCCTGACTAGGAGTATGTCAGCCTGAGAGCTGCAAAATGGGGAGGGGGGGGGGGGCTTCAGCTGTGCCGACAGGAGAAGAGCTGTGCAGACAGGAGAAGAACAGCTGAGCTAACTTTGGGGGTGTTCAGGGCTGTGCAGGTTGGACAGGGGATAAAAGGACTGCTTAATTTTTTGGAGTTGGGGCAATAAATGCCTTTGCTGAAGAGAGGGGTATAGGTTGTAGCTGTGTTGGTCTAAGGTAGGGTGGCCATCATAGAGGACAGTTCAGTTGTCCTGTGTCCTCTATTGATACAAAATCTGACACCTTTATGTCCTCTATTTTTCTCTTCAAGAGAAGTGCACTTCAAGAGAAAAACAGAGGACATAAAGGCATCGGGTTTTGTATCAATAGAGGACACAGGACAACTGAACTGTCCTCTATGATGGCCACCCTACCTTAGACCAACATGGCTACAACCTATTCTTCTTCAAGAGAAAAACAGAGGATATAAAGGCATCTGGTTTCGTATCAATAGAGGACAGTAGCATGTCCTCTGATGGCCACCCTAGTCCTAGGACATAGGCAAACAAGGTTCTTTGGGTAAATCTGATATCTTTTATTAGACTAACTCAAATAGTTGGAAAAATTCTTCTTAGCAAGCTTCCAAATATAAATACCCTTCGTCAGGCTGAGGAAGCGTCTGCTTCACTGCTGGTTATTCAAGGTGCACGTCTTCCTTTGAAGAAGTGAAATCCCTGTCACAGGAGCTGAACTGGAAGGTAGGCCCACAGATAACCAGGGAGGGTCAGGCAGTGAACAGCCAGGCTCTCAAGGGTTGAAAGGAGTCAGAGCTCCCACCTCTAGAAGCCAAACCAGCATGGCTGCAGGAGGAACAGAGACCAGGCAAGGCCTGGGGTCCAGAGCAAGCACTCCCCTGCGGGAATCCATGATAGCTACTGGTTGTGGTTCTAAGAAAAGACAGGAGTAAAGGAAAATATCAGAGGTACAGATCCCTCAAGAGAAAGGTCTCTGGATCTCGTCTGTGGGTAGGTGATTAGCTGCCAGAGAAGATTGTAGCAGGGTGCGGGGCCCGAGGCAAATTGGCCTGTGCGGGGCCCGGACGCAGCAGCAGGGGGAGGAGAGACGGTGACGAGCAGCCACATACGAAGCCGGCCTGGCTCTGCAGAGCCCCCCAAAGCATGGGGGCCTGGGGCAGTCGCCTCCATTTGCCCCTCCACCAGGGATGGCCCTGTTCGCTGCTAATCAAACTAAGCAAGCAAAGCAGCAGAGAAATCCATTCAATATGTATTTCAGTTCAACACATAGAACATTTGCATTGGTTTGCTTACTCCAGTATAACAGGGATCTCTCTTACCCATTTAGAGACTACATATGGTTTCTTGCAACAATTTATAACTTTAGCTGCAAATTGGTTCATGACCTTGATGGTTTATGTTAACCTGAATGCATAAGGCACTATAACATGCCTGTCTTCTCATTCAAAATCTCACAACTGGGAAGCAGCTGGTTTTTTCCCCCACAATTGAAAGCATTTTCCTATGTACACTATATAAAAAGCAGACAAAATAAGAGGGAGAATAAAACAACCCCTACCAACTATCACAGTATTCTTTCAGCCTCTGGTAACAATCCTTGAATTAGGATTACCTTTAGTACTCCAATTACAGCTGGTGGGTAGCTCAGTCCAACCATATTTGATGTCCGTCTATACATCCTACCAAGATAAAATGGTAAATCAATAGATAATATAAACAGTAAGACAAGGCTATAGGAGACATCATTTACTGCAGCCAAACAGACTGTAGTTCCTACTTTTGTCCTTCAAGGATCCTCCATATCCTTATTGGACACCTACACATTATTTTTATTGTCCTCATTTTACTTCCTTACTCCTACAACACACACTCTGGTGGTGTTTTTCCCCTGGCAGAACAGACCAAGACTTCATTTGGCACCTTCACGAGGCAGAAGGACTGCTCTTCAGAAATGAGACTTTACTTTCCGCCATGGCAACTGACCACATTTCTGCTCAATCCTTTCACCTGTTGCTGGCCCAAGACAGCATTTCAAGATAGCTTCAGAAAATGTCTCATTGAATGGAAACATTTAATGCATGTATGACAGTTGCTTCTGGTGAATGGTGCATTTACTTACGTATCTGCAAAAAGCGTTTGTGATCTTTACTTGTTAAGATGAATTCATTCATCAACTAGCCTTAGTTAAAGCATCCCTGAAGCAACTTTAAAAATGTGAATTTTAAATTTAGAACATAAATGAGCACATTTATAGGCAGCATAATTGTTCACTGCTATCACTTTATCATTCCCTGCAGCTGCTCTTCCCCAGGTCATGATCCACTTCAGAGATCCAGAACAAAAGGGTAATTCCAGAGAACAGAGATTGGACAGCCTCTATTCCCTTTTACTGGTAATGGAAAGAGTAGCCCTACTAAAGAAATGTATGAAAGCAAATAGTTTTTAACTATGACAACTATCCCACATAAGATTTGCCACATTTTTTTAAATAAATGCAACATTTCAACAGGAAATAATACTTTAACACGTATTTTGAAAAACTGATTCCAATAGTTATAGAAAGTATTTAAAACAAAAATTGATCCATTCAAAAATTTGTATAATTAAAAACAAATTTGAATATTTGTTTTTTTGCAAATACATATTTTAACTATCTGAGTCAGTAATTACCCATAAAGGTAAATAACAGAGGGTGGCTGAAGGAATAATAATATGATCATTTGCTACAAGTTAGTCACGAACACTCCATGACTCAAGTAAGTTCAAAATAATCTAAATTAATTGCATACATTTTTTCAACAGATAATTTGATAGCTGGATACTAATATATAATAGTATCTTGTCAAAATGTTGAGAAATGAAGCAATGTCTGACAAACCCCAATAGGTCTTGCAAAAATTGTGACTTCTATTAATAGCATACAAGCTGGATTTTCAGGATCACCAATAGAAAATTGATTATAAATATGTAGAAGGAAGCTATTGTGTTTCTATGTGGTCTTTCATATAATGTGCCAAAGCTGTCTGAGGTACCTTTACAGGGGCGGGCAATTATTTGGGGCAGAGGGCCACTTACTGAGTTTTGGCAAGCCATCGAGGGCCACATGGCAGGCAGCCAGGGACAGATAAATATTAATTTTCTAAAATTTTTAGGGGCCCCGCGGCCCAGATAGAATGACCTGGTGGGCCACATCCGAATTTTGCTCACCCCTGCTTTAAGAGGTACCCTTGATGACATTCTTATAAACCATGTTGCTAACCTAGAGTGATGGCATGAATATCTACTATTGAAATATACTATCTAAAACACTTTTTTCCTTTTTAAATTCTTTTACAGAAAAAGTTCAGCAAAAGAAATTCTAAAGTGCACCTGGAGTCCAATTCAGTATGATCATTAGTGAGCTCACCTTCATTTATTTACAGAATCAGTTTGTGCTTGCTTACACATGCATTGAGTTCAGCTGGCGGGTATTTCCAAGGGTGTGACTCCACTTTCTAGTTTGAAGAATCAGAGTGTCAAGAAAGACAACTTCCTCAGCAAAGAAAGGTGGGACATTGGCAGCTGGAAACAAATTCAGTTTTAGGAGGTTCAGAAGTTTGAAATTAATATTGATCCACCTCTAGAAGTGTGATTTTGTACAAATTGAGGGACTCAGCAATGGAGGGGACTTGGCGAAGAGATTCAATCTTTCAGTGGAATCCTTTGAAAGCTCTTCAGTTTTCAGTCTGATCTTGGTCTGAATCTTCTTTGTGACATATAATTCAGCAAATGCTATGATGTAGACTTTTTGTTTTATTTCTTTGTTTTGTTGTTTAAAATGAGCTAATTGTCTGCCCTTTGTAAGACCTAATGGACGTTAGAAAGATACTGTGTTAAAACAGGAACTGATTTGGTTGGTTTTGGTGAAACCCTTAATCTTATCATAGGACTGTTTATGACACATGTTATCTTTCCTCTTTATGGCCACTTGCAAACGCATATGTAAAAGTGGGGAAAGGCCCAAATGAAACAATTACAACATAAGATTTGTATGATTGATAATGAGCACTTAGCACACAACAATTTAGTTTATTATTTCTTTTTTAGCCCCAATCTCCATTCCTTGTTCAGTTCTCTGTAACCAAACAAGCTGAACCAACAAAAATTGTCTTCATTTGATATTAAAGGTTCAACCTGTGCTTGGCCAGTCACTGAAAAAGAATGATTAAATCTTCTTTTACCTTTCCACGAATATCCCAGCTTGCACTGCATGGACAATGCTCCTGAACCGGGGCTTTTCCTCAGACCTTTTAAGCATCATCCCCATCTGCCGTGTGAAGGTGGAGGCCAACCAGTCCCGGACCTCAGAGGGCACGGAGTCTGACTGGATATCACTGAGCTCATCTTCTGTATCCAATAAACGCCTATAAGAGGGTAGAAAAATGGATAAACAGAGTGTTCCTAAGAGAGGTTTCTAACATAATTTTCAAGCATCTCAGACATGCTCTAATTAAAGCAGTTATTAAAAATTCACTCTTTTTCTAAACTTAATGGAACACATTTTTGACAGTCTATAACAGATTATTTACTTTCTTGGACAGCCGCATGCCAGATTGCGAAGCTCTCTACTAGGCTAATAAACAAGACAGTCAGCATGATGAAACAGAGCTACATAACCCTCCCATGATTTCTCATCTTCAGCTTGTCAGCATTCATGGACCCAATCTTGCCACCATTCTAAGCTGATTGATATTAATGTGAAATTTCCAAACAGGATCCAGACAATAATGTGCTTTGAAGTTTGGGTAATTTTACCCAAAACAATTCTTTAGAAGTAAGTTTAACATTTGTTAAATGGATTGGCGGGTCAGATTCGGAGACTGGAATCTTTTATCTAAGCATGCAACAAATGGTAAACAGGAACATAAACCCCACAATACCTCCTCACCAGTTTGCCCTAATCCTGAACTTGAATGGCTACCTGAAGAAAATAGTTCATTTTCTTTGTCCCTTCCATTCTTGGACTCTCAACTGAGAATGACAACTGTGCCAACAATGTAGACCCTTAACCACCAAAAGTCCATGTGAACACCAGACAGCCTGAATAACCAGGGGTTATTTAGTCTGAAAAAGAAGAGACTGAAATGGGGTTTGATAACAGTCTTCAAATATATAAAGAGGAGTTATACAGTTCTCTGTGTCCACAGGGCACAGAACAAGAAGTAATGCTTTTAAACTGCAAAAGGGGCATTTAGATTGGATATTAGGAAGAGCTTTCTAACTATGAGAATAATTAAGCAGTGGAACAGAGTTTGTGGAATCTCCATTATTGCAAGCTTTTAAGAGCAGATCAGACAAACACTTGGTTGAAAAGGTTTAGAAAGGGATGAGCCTGCCTTGAGCAGGGAAACTAGATGACCTCCTAATATCCCTTACAGGTCTATTTTTTCAATTATTCTGTGATCCTCATATCAAAATATTTATCAAAGACAGACTACATGTGGTTTTACAAAGGGAAAAAGTGTCTATGAAGCTGTAGGACATCAGAAAAAAAAGGATCTCATAGTCATGAAAGTTTTTTCATTATGAAGTACTATAATATATAATACTTATGTTTTTAGTTATAATATGAACATGTCCTTAAATTACATTCTTTCCCTAGCAGAATATATTTTTAGTTAATTATCACTTTCAGGTTGTTTTTTCCAGGAAGCTTAAAGAAACTTTCAGAGAATATACTGAAGAATAAAGATCTGTTTTACATATTCCCTCTGAGTAATAACTAAAGATTAGCTTAAGTTAAATAACTTCCCTTGTAAACAATCAGCACTTAATTTAATGGCATGAATTATCAACACATATGTGAAGTTAACCTACCTGGTTTCATCAATGTACACTGACTCAAGGACGGTAGCTGCATATTCCAAATTCTTTTTTAAGTCTACAACTGAAGCCTCTCCTCTCTCTAACTGCTTTACCAAAGACCGCAACCTAAGAGAGAAAGACAAGAAGCTGGTTAACATAGAGAGAAATGTGTTTGAGACTGATTACAAAATACTATCCTATACAAAATATAGCCTCATTTATTGTCAACGAAGAGCCTGTGAAGTCTGCAAATATGCCATCTTACCAAACATAATTTTAATATTTTGGATAACATTTGTCCATAAGAAAGGTCATAAAACTTTTTCTTCCTTTACAGTATATTTCCGAAGAAGAGAGATCTTAACCCTGTAAGATACTGGATGCTTGCAAATCACACTGAAATGAATGAAAATAGGTGGTGAACATATAGTTTGGAAATATGATGAAATTGTCACTATTGGAAATATTGCAAAATAAACCCAAGAAAATCTTAGGAAATACCATACTTACACTTTTCATTATAATGTGAATATGGCCTCGATTTACCTTCCATTATGCTAGAGGCATATTTAAAATTATCACTGAAAACTGGGGTCCTTTTGAAAATGAAATCATTTTGTGAAAAATATTCATCATTTTGTGAATAAATATTACTCTAAAACTGTCCTATTTTTCAGAGGAATCCAAAGCAAAAAGAGTGTTCAATTCTCTCTTTCTTCTACTACCTTCTTTATTTCTGCTATATCATTTTAGTGGCAAATTGAAAAAAGGGATAAAAAAAAAGGGAGAGAAAATGTAAAAATGGAAGAAAAGGGGGAAATACCAAAATCACATTTTAGACACAAAACAAAATCAAATAATGTTTTCACACACAAATTTAAAATAAATAAAACAATTATAGAATAAAGATTTTAATGTTGGTCCGTTGTGAAAAGTCTTTACCATTTTAGTCCAACTACAATATTCAAATATACAACTAACAGTGTGGGAATAGATAATAAATATATAATCTGGCCTCAATAAAATGCAGTGGTTTAGACAGTATAGCAAACTCCTTCCCAATGTCCCCACTGTTCAGAGCAGTCAGTATGCCCCTATGCAGCAAACTAGCACTTCTCTGTAGCTGCTATATTGTTCTGCAAAATGTCAGTTTTCAATATCAAAACATTAAGAATGTGAACTGATGCAAAGAGGTCCACATGAGTTTAAAGAGAACGTGAAACAATTGCTCTATGGCTGCCCCGTTCACCTTAACACAGCTGCCTGGTGATGACCATTAAATGTCACCCATTGTAAGCCATTTTCTTCGTAGTGCAAGAGGAATGGAAAGGGTCACTGATCTGCACAATTGACAGGAGCATCTTATTTGGTGACTCAACTGGGTGGCATTTCAGACACAAATACTTATGCATCCCCCAATCAAAAAACAGTCAAGGTCAAAGAGCTTAACAGAGCCAATGGAAATATTCAACCCTAAATAGAAAGGGAACAAGTGCAAGGAGCCTAGGGAAACAAAAGTGCCCACACAATCTTATTTTGAATATATGCACAATTTATTGTGAGTGGCAACATATTTTTTGTGTGGGTACAGCTTGGAAAAATGCCACCACCTGCTCTTACCATGAAATTTGACTCTTGGCCAATGTAGCATGAATTTCCTGAAAAACTGACATAATTACATTGTCAAGTGTGATGGCAGATAGAGAGAGAGCCCTGTCATCACTTAGTCCTCACCAATTCTTGTACCTTCTTGCCCCCCTATAAAGATGGAGGGAAGACATATAACTGCCTTGTAGTATCTTCTTCCCTTCCCATACTGTACCTTATGTCCTCTTACTCCCTGAACTAATTATCAAAAATATTACATTTGCCTTGGCTGGAGGAGTTAATAGTGCAGCAATCAGTTTGCCTTTCTTGATTTTTATTTCATTGATTGCAGCACACAGCAGGTCTGCACCACAAGACACTCAAATATTCGTATTCAATAACAGCACAATGTGTGACTCCTGCTGCATGGCGCCAACATCCATCAAACAAGAAGATTACACAGAGTATAGAGTGCATCAAGCATTTGGCTAAACAGAAGTAAAGTTGTGTGAATGAAAGTGTGACACACAACTGGGGGTCCTAAGTGAAAAAATTGCATTGTCTGACCATTCATTTTCTGCAAGTACTTCTGCTTTATCTATTAGCTGCAGCTCTTGACTCTTACTTCTATTAATATGAAGCCATTGATATTTTCCTTTTATAATGTTATAAAAGCATTTTTATTTTGTTAAAACAATTCTGAATAAATCTGAAACATTAAGCTAGGTCGTCACTCTGAACAGAACCTGGCACTAGAGCTAGGCAAAACCTAAAATCTTATAAAAAAGGAAGCTTATGGTCAGCTGAAATTATTAATGGATTTAAATCAAGTCACCAAATAGTTTTGACCAAAATGAACTGCTGAAACAATTTATTTTAACATTTGCCAAAAGAGGTGACATTACCATCATGCCTTATTCCCCATTGATTAGGGCACTCACATACAGGTAACCTTAGTTCAGTTTCTGCCTCTGCTTGAGGACGGCTGAATCACATTTACCATTACAAAGGAGAATGATCCATCCACCACACTACCTGGTACTCTTAGTTTCTTCTCATATGCTGTTGTACTTTGTTATAAAATACTTCAATATTAATTGAATCAGAGAGTAATGAGTCTGTGATCTGGTGGTTTGGATACTCCTCTGAGATGTGAGAAATATAGGTTCAAATCCCTTAATCAAACAAAGAAATGATTAGCACTTGATATCAATTAAGAGATTGCCCTACTCCCAGGACCTGTTCATTAAGTCAGGGAGAGAACAAACATTGTCTCTGTAGACTGGTGCTTAGGATATTCTCTTTGGAAGACAAAGGCCAGAGCGGCCATCCTGCCAAAAAGGGTTTTTTACATATTTTATACAAGGTAGACCAAAAAGAGAATGATAGTACCCCGTGCCAGAATACCCGACATCAGAGCAGGCATAGGAGATACAGAGTCAAGGGAGGGAATTGAGCCTGTGTCTCCTATACCCTGAGTGAGTGCCCTAACCTATGCCCTAACACTAAGGGGGCACTTAACAGTGGTGGCCTTAGGGTTGTTGGGGCCCTGGGAAAAGAGTCATTTGGGACCCCTTAGAGCAGGGGTGGGCAAAATGCAGCCCATGGGCTGGATGTGGCCCACCAGGCCATTCTATCCAGTCTGCAGGGCACCTAAAACATTTAGAAAATGAATATATATCTGCTTTGGGCTGCCTGTCATGCAGCCCTCGATGGCTTGCCAAAACTCAGTAAGCGGCCCTCCGCCCAATATAATTGCCCACCCCTGCCTTAGAGGTATGTACTCAAGTAAATATTAATACACCACAGTTGTACCAAGGATCTTTTTAATATTCTTTGGAGTAATTAAATAAATAGTTGAATGTTAAAATGCAAATAGAGCCACTTCCTTTCAAAATCATTGCCCCCTCCCCCCCAAAATTTGGGCCCCCTGAAGTGTTGGGCCCCAGGCAGTTGTCTGGTTTGCCCTCCCCTAAGGCTGCTACTGTACTTAATCTTGGTTTCCTTGGCTTTTCAAATGAGTGACCCTTTTCTCTGAGCCTAACCTGAATAAAATTTACTGTGACAAACCTTGAACCCTCCTATGAAATAAGAACTTTCATTTCTACCTGGGAGAACTTTTACCATCTTTTCTCCTATGCCTGAAGAAGGGTGCTTGTGCCCGCAAACTTGCAATTAAAGACTTTTTATTTTTCAAAAATCTAGTTGCTCTAATAAAATATATCACCTCTACCACAAATTCTGATTCCTAAACTAAGCATTCTATTTCATAGTGAATTAAATATTTCCTTGAACCTGAACCTACATTTTTTCATTTGCTTAGTTGCAGAAGAAATCTAAACATTTTATCCTGTCTCAATGTACTTGATTTTGCTTTAAATATTTGGTTCATCAGCAGGTCATAAAACTTAATTAATTGCAAACCCTATCTGATACCACAGCAATTCCATCAAGGTAACTGGAGCTACTTGTAGAAGGTACTGTTCGTTTTAAGTCAGGGAAATCACAATCCATCCTGCATACATTCAGTTGTTGCTGCTTTTCAACTACACATCATGTCACAGAACAATGATATGACTTCACAAATCAGACATTCTCATATCTCCACATTTGGTGGAAGTCTAGAGAGAGCTGGCTTCTCATACTGCAACAGCTCTTCTTCCTTATTTTAACTGCTTTTTGCATTAAACAGCTGAAAGGCATTAGATATTTTCTTAGTAACACTTTTGTATAGAAGTAGTAGCTTTTGCTTATTTTTTTTCTAATTTAAGATATGATGTGTGCTATGGAGAAGGTTTGGCAATCACTTCTAAACTGGAGTAACCACAGAAGGGGCTATACTCCATTGAAGAAAATGGAATAACCTTACCATACAAAATGAGCACCGAGTTCTGTTCAACATTGAGCATTATTTGAGCACTTCCTGCAATGTTGTGAGTCCATATTGATTGTATCTTTGTGAAGTTCAAGGGAGGCAGCATTGCATAGAACTAAACACTCTCTTTGTATCTTGAGATTATTTCATGGTCTGTACAAACCATGGACTTCAAAGATATAGCATAGACTCACAACCTTGCAAGTGCTTAATGATTTACAGAATCTGAATCCATATTACTTTCAGTGCATGCTATAGTTCAATCCCCCATGAAGAACTCTGGAGCTAGATGAGAACAGTTATTCCTCTTGACTCCAGTGGGACTACTCATTTGTCTATGACAGATAGGATTGAGTCATCTCTAAAGGCAAAGGTACCAAAATCTCACATTAATTCCAAAGTCATAGATTCATAGAAGTAGGGTCAGGAGGGACCTTATAGATCATCAAGTTTGACCCCTTGGGCAGGAGAGAAAACCGGGCTCAAATGACTCCAGCTAGGTAGACATCAAACCTCCTCTTAAAGACCCCCAGGGTAGGAGCCATCACCACTTCCCTTGGAAGTTGGTTCCAGACCCTAGCTGCCCTGACTGTGAAGTAGTGCCTTCGGAGGTCTAGTCTAAACCTACTCTCTAACAATCTATGGCCGTTATTCCTTGTTACCC